AGCTCTTTTACAATGATATCTTATAGCTATCTCTGGATCATCAGGTGAAGTTTCAGATTGATTTAATGTTAATGAAAAAACTTATTATGTGGAACCAAATCAATTAACACTTATGAAGACAAAACATCTCATGAAGAAGGTAAAAGAGCTTTGTAATAAAGGTTTTATTTGATGAAGTTCATTGTTGTAGGGCAATTTTGTTTATGAAAAGAACATGGTCGATATAGATGTGCATTGATTTACTGTGTGTTGAATAAATTGGTAAAAAATTGACACCCACTTCCTATAATGAATATCTATTAAATAGTCTTGAAGGGGCCTATTATTTTTTAGAAATTTGAAACATCCTAAAAATACGGTCCAACAATTTCGTATTAAAATCATTTAAGAAAACCATAATTCATCAACATCATAATAAAATCACAAGTCATGTATCCCCAACACATCATATCAAAATACTGTATCAAAATCACATGACAAAACATCAGAGTCTAAACATCCCAGGCTGAAAACTGAGGTGTGTGTCATGCAGTCATCCCGAGCTCTTCCCCTTGCTAGTGGAAGTACCTGAAACCAAAACTGAAAACTGTAAGCACGAAGCTTAGTGAGTCTCCCCAAACTACCACATACCATACACATAATCACATAATGCCATACATTGGGCCTTGCCCGCTACATCTGGCCCCGCCCGACATCGGGCTGAAGTCCGGCATCGGGCCCCGCCCGGCATCGGACCGAAGTCCGGTATACATATCACATATGAACACGCATATAACATAAACACGTAACATAAACATATAAGCTAAATCCTTCCTCGGGCTTACCCCAGCATCGGACCGAGGTCCGGAATACATAACACATAACATATAACTAAACATTCCTCGAGCTTGCCCGACATCAGACCAAAGTCCGGAACATATAAACAAACACATGCAGGAATCACGAAGACATCAAGCATACAAATGCTTCCTCGAGCTTGCCCCGACATCAGACCAAAGTCCGGAATCATATAATCCGCATCGGGCTAGCCCCAACATCGGACCTAAGTCCGGCATACACTAACATACATAAACTGCCCGATATTGGTGCCTTAGACCCGTTCCTACTGGAGGAAAACTCACCTCGCAAAGCTGACTGCTGAAATCTCGAGTGAGGAATCTCCGACGGCCGCTCCAACGACTCCCCAGCTATTAATATCACAATAACACTTAGTCAAAACCTAATAATCCTCCTTAGGGTAAAATGACCATTTTACCCATGGTCAAAGTCAATGTTTTACTTAAAGTCAACCTTCTGGTTGACCCAACTCGCCGAGTTGCTTCATCAACTCGTCAAATCCTAGAATCCTGAAATCGCGATCTAACTCGTCGAGTCATCTCCTGACTCGCCGAATTCCCTGGCTACTCGTAATCGCGATTTATCGAATCAACTCGTCGAGTCCCTTCACCGACTCATCGAGTTCTACCTTAAGCTAAAACGGGACAACATAATCCAACTCGTCGAGTTCCTCTATAGACTCGACGAGTTCCTCTGTCTGATTGGCCATCTTAACAGATTAAGCCTCTACTCTCCAAATCCAACGTCCATACTGCATCTACATACTGGAAATGCCCTTTTTAAGGGTAAAGTTTCCAACTTTACCCGTTAATATCCCTTCTTAATGGGTTTAGCTAGAACCCTAGTCCTTTTAGGATATAGATCTTTGTCCAACAGCCTTATCATTCCGAACCAAAGCGTGAAAACCCAGATCTAGGTCCTAGATACTAAAAGAACACGTAAAGCCTCAGATTTTCCTTCCATGCATGGCCTTTTGGGGCACAAAGGCCATAACAACACCTTAGAGCTTGCATGGGGGTTTCAATGGCATAAAGTTTGCACCTTTATGCCTTAACAACCCTTAATAATCCCAGATCTGAAAGGATACTTGTTTGGGACGTCCAAACCCCAAGGGTCAAGCTTCTTGAACCAAAACCCTTATAAAGTGGAAATAAGTAGATCTAATGAATAAATGATCAAGTTAGAGACTTGATTACCAGAAAGTGAAGGGAATGAGATGTTGCTTATGGATCTACAATCTTCTCTTGGAGTCCTCAAGCTTCTTCTTCTTCCTCAAGCTTCAAATCACACAAGAACACTCAAAAATGGCTCACACACTCACACAATGCTCTAGGGTTTCGTGGATTAGGGTTTGAGACTTGGAGGCTGGAAATGAGGCCAAAAGGTGGGGATTAAGATGCTTAAATAGGGTGCAAAACCCCGAAATTAGGATTTCACTCTGGCAGACCTACTCGCGGAGTCGAGGGGCTCTCGACTTGTCGAGTAGATAGCTTAAATCCCGTGTCCAAAACTCGTTTCTACTCGACAAGTCTGGGGGCTCCCAACTCGTCGAGTAGCTCTATTAAAATGAATAATTTATAAATAAATGCGTACCAAAAACCAGGTGTTACAAAATTGGTTTTCAATATGAGCATCTAAGGTAGCATTAGTTGTAAGTGTGCGATAAAAAGATGTAATGATCTGCCCCTCGGGATGATTTCAACTCGGGTCTCCTCCTGAAAGATGGTGGAGAGGCTTCCGTTGTACCAACTGCCGGTTCCAAAAAAAAAAAAAGATGTAATGAACAAATCAACAACTTTTATGGATTTAAGGAATTGAGATTGTAAATTGGTTATTTGCCAATGTGTCGTTGTGTCCATTGTCAATATCGTCATTTATTTTATAAGAGATAAGAAACACGAAAAGAACTTGCTAAAAATATTTGAAGTATTAAAAGGAGAGAAATTTATGCAAATGTCTTGAAGTACGATTTTTGGTTCCTAAAGGTGAATTTCTTTGATCACGTGGTTATCAAGGTTGGCCAACTAAAGTGGAACCGATTATGAAATGAGATCACATATATTTTATCTATTACGTTCTTCATAACTTATTCAAAAAGGGGTTTCACTTTTAGGGTTCTAGTTGCAGGGCGGAGTGTCATATTTTGGTGATAAACAATATTTTAATGAACACAACATTCGTGGAAAGATGTTGGTAATTTTGGACTTAAAAACCTGGTACGCGATGAAAGTCACATTCCATATCACGTAGATTACATATAAACCTCAAACGATTTGGTATATGCCTAAGGTTGTTTGACATATAAAACAGGTTCCAAAGTTCAAAGTGGTACCACATTTTTGACATGAAGGATGGCATCATAGAAGACACCATGCCTATATCACATGATTTGTCGCTCGACTTGCAAGTCCCATATTGTCTATGTGGCTAAAATAGCTAAAATTAGGCTTGTTTCATTAGCTTATCATTTCTCAATACGTACTTCAAGGGCTCTTTTGCTATGTTTGAAAGTTAGAGGGGGCTTTTATGATTTTTGACAAAACTATTAGTTACAAATATCGTCAAACCGAGAGGTAAAATCAGAACGAAGAGAGAGGGAGACAACGCAAGAGATACAGAAATAGAGAGATGCCGGCGTCAGCGACGATGATCGGAGCTTTACTGGGGTTGGGCACCCAGATGTACTCCAACGCCCTACGAAAACTCCCCTATATGCGGCGTAAGTTGTTAATTTCTCTCTGATTCATAATCAAATCAATCGAATGAATCCTTTCGATTCAAATCTGTTACAGATCCATGGGAGCATGTTCTGGGGATGGGTTTAGGTGTGGTGTTCGCTAACCAGCTAGTGAAATGGGACGTTCAGCTTCAAGAAGACCTCGATAAAATGCTCGATAAAGCCAAAGCCGCTAATGAGCGCCGTTACTTCGGTATTAAACCTAACCCTAACCTAATTTGTCTATCTGATCACCATCTGTACAATTATATCTGTGGATTTTATAATATCATCTATTTCGATTCTGCATTCGAGTTTGGAAAGACGTTATTCATTTATCTGTTCACATTTGCAATCAAATCAATGACGACTCGCACTACATAGCTCTTTTCTCTGAATTAGCGATCATGTGGGAGTATTAACAACAAAATCCCTAAGTATTCAACAGAGATTGTCTTAGAATCCTAAAGTTAATGAATTTGTTTGAGTTTAGAGTACATGAAATGGGTTAATCATATTCTTTACAGAGAGTTTCCTTCTTTGCTACAAATGTTTTTGTTTCATTTTATAAGTTCTGCAACTGCTGTTACTTATTGCTCTTTATTCAATGAACATGTTACAATAACAGTGTAGATTACTTCATTAGCCTAAAGAAAATTTTTGATGCTATATTTCTTGTCCATGTAACTAATGTGAATTTTTAACTCTTGCTTGTAGATGAAGATGACGAGTAGCAGTTTCCATTATAAAATTTGGAATCTATTTCTAGAGAGTGACAGTTTTCATTATAAAGTTTGTGTTTAATGACATTCTTCTTCTCTACTTGCGCTTTTGTGTTTTATGTTTGTAAGAATAAATCATTGTACTTTGACACACATGGCTTTGCCTTGAGAAGTTGTCATACACATTTTATTATTTTTGATATGTTGAAATCCATCAAAAGATGCAGCTCTTAATGCACTTGAGTCATAATATTATATATTTTTGAAAAATGCTTTACAATAGATGCTCACAAAAACTCAACAAAATGGACCTTTAGAGGCTTTAGATACATGACATCAATATCAGTTAAGAGTCAAAACACACGAATCTTCATTTCTCTATAATTTGTCCATTTTAGTACGATGAAATAGAATCATCAAGGAATGCAATAAGACAAGATAAAGTGTTTGTTATCAATAAATAGACTAGAAAGAATGGGATAAAATGTTTGTTATCAATAAATAGAAAACTAAACCGAGTAAAATTGATAAATAAAGAAAAAAATGTTCATTTATAATAATAAATTTTAATCAAATAAATAAAGATTTATCAGATTTCATAATCAGAAATCCATCAAAAGATGCAGCTTTTAATGCATTTAAATCACAACATTATATGATTGAAAAATGATGTACACTCGTTGCTTATGATATTACTCAACAAAATAAACCTTTCATATAATCTACAATCAGTCAAAACTCAAAAACACACCCATTTTCATTAAAATTCACTACCAAACTACACATAAGGTTCACGACTCATTTTTTCAGCATTCGAAACTCCATCTTTAACTACATGCATAATAAGATCACAAACATGCCTTGAAGATGGCCTTTCACTAGGAACAGTTTTAGTACACTGAAGCCCAATCTCAAGAACTTGAAAAGCAGCATTTTCTTCATGAGGAAGTAACGGTTTCAGCCCCTCATCTATCAGTTCTTCACGTTTTGGTCCCTCCATTTCGATTCGCGACTCCACCCACCTCACCATATCCACATTTTCACCAAACGTCCCCCCTGTCGGCATCCTCCCACTCACCAACTCCATCAACACAATCCCCAAACTGTACACATCACTCTTCTCAGTCGCCTTAAAAGAATACGCGTATTCTGTTAAAAAAAACATTGTCAGTATAAGTATACTGTATACAACTGTATAATGCTGCAGTCATCTGATATCAAACGTTATAGAAGTAGATATATTTATTGTAATACCTGGAGCAATGTAACCATAAGACCCTGCGAACCATAAGGAATCGTTAGTGGAAGACTCGTGGTTCTCATGAATAGCTTTTGCGAGCCCGAAATCCCCTAAATGGGCATCCATGTTTACATCAAGAAGAACATTAGCTGATTTTATATCTCTATGAATGATTTTAGGGACACAATCATGGTGAAGATACTCCACACCTTGGGCTAACCCAACTGCGATGTTTAACCTCGTGTCCCAATCAAGGGTCTTCTTTTTCTTGATGTTTTGTGGTTCATGATGCAACCAATCATAAACCGAACCATTCTCCATGTACTCATAAATCAATAGATTCGACCCTGCTCCTCGGTTGCTACAATACCCGAGTAATTTCACTAATCGTCTATGTTTTATCTGACCAATCGTGTTCACTTCTCTTGCAAAACTCTTATCAAGAAACACATCGTCTTTCCATGGTATCCGTTTAATGGCCACAGTCTCACCGGATAAAAGCTCGGCTCTATAAATTGTCCCCGACCCGCCCGAACCGATTATGAACTCGTCACTTAGGTTATTCGTGGCCTCCATTAGGTCATCCCATCTGAAATCCCGCTTCGTGGAGCCCGGTTTGAAAAAAAGCGGTCTTCTTTGTGCGCGTGATGAAAACGACGAAGAGTAGTCTGTACTGCTACTCCCGTCTCCGGCTTTTACAAAGCCGGACCGGTTTCTTCTGAAGAATAACAGGGCTGCGAGAAACATCAGTGCAATCGCGACTATTGTCGAAATAGCCGAGATTGTGATCACTGCTGCTTCACTCAGCCCTGGTTGTCGGTTTCTTGGAAACCGGCAACTGTCAAGAGGCGGCCCACAAAGACCGTGGTTTCCGATGAAAACATCGGCCGGTAAGTCGGAATAGCCGTCGTCTAGTTTTCCGTTGAGATTGTTGTAAGAGAGGTTGAGTTTGCCCAAGCTACTCATTATACCGAGTTCAGGCGGAACGGTCCCGGTTAACTCGTTGTGGGACAGGTCTAGCACCTCGAGTTTTGATAATGTCCCGATTGACCCCGGGATTGTTCCCGTTAAGTTATTGTAACTCAAGTCCAAAACACTTTGTAGATTCTTGAGGTTTGCAATTTCAACTGGGATTTCACCGGAAAAGTTGTTTCCCGAGAGGCGGATTTCATACAACTTGCTTAAGCTCCCGATGGAATCCGGGATTTGGCCGGAAAGTTGATTGTTGTTCAAGTTGAGGACATTGATGGATGAAAGCTTGCTAATTTCTTTAGGCAGTATTCCGGTGATGGAATTGGAATCAAGCGAAAGGACTAAAAGATCAGAACAGTTGAATAGACTCAACGGAATCGAGCCTGTAAACTTGTTGGATGAGAGCTTTAATTCCCCTAACAATGGTAAGTCTCCGAGCCACACCGGAATTGAACCTGAAAGAAGGTTGTTATTTAGATCGATGTGAGTTAACTTTTTGCACATTGATAGCTCATGTGGTAAAGATCCTGTAAGCAAATTACTTGACAAATCCAAGAGGGACAACTCTTTAATTTTTCCCAATTCCGAAGGGATTCGCCCTGTGAACCGATTCCGTCCCAGCCGTATCCTCTGAAGGAACTGTGAATTCCCGAATACCGCCGGAATCTCGCCGGAAAACTCGTTGTTGGTGACATCAAATGAGAGAAATGAATTCGAACTACATAAAGGAGAAATGCTTCCATTGAATTTGTTGTTTATGAGGTTTATTCTAGTCAAATTTGTAAGGCTGGTTAGCTCTAAAGGAAGATTGCCTTGAAGAGAGTTGTTGTAGAGCATGAGCTGTTCTAACGATCTCAGGTACCCAAAAGTTGCCGGAATTCCGCCGGTGAGACTGTTGTCCGCGAGGTCTATAATGGTGAGGAGATGACAGTTGCCAAAAGTGGCCGGGATTTCGCCGGAGAGGTCGTTTTGTCTCAGGTGGAGAAAGTTTAACTGGCTGAGCCGCCCGAACGTCACCGGAATTTCACCATTGAAATGGTTCCCGTAGAAATCAACCATTTGTAAACTCGAGCAGTTTCCGATCTCCAATGGGATTCTTCCTGAAAATTGATTCTCATACAGGAATATAATCTGGAGCTTCTGAAGCATCCCGATTTCCTTTGGTAATTCGCCATTGAATTTGTTTTGAAACAATGATATTGTTTCGAGATTGGTGAGATTAGCTATGGCGGGAGGAATAGAACCTGTGAGCGTATTGTTATTGAGCCAGATGTCTGTCAAATTGGTTAATTTGAAAAGATCGATCGGAATTGTTCCGTTGAGTGTGTTGTTGGAGAAGTCGATTTGTTTCAGAGCAATGCAATCTCCCAATTCTTTGGGTATTTCACCGGAAAACATGTTCTGTGAGATCATCAGGTGTTCCATGGTGGTGCTGGTGTTGGAACATATAGTCGTCGGAATGCCACCAGAAAGACTGTTGTTTGAGAGGACAAGGTATTGGAGTCGACCCATGTTCCCTACTTCTCCGGGAACTTCACCGGAAAGCTTGTTCGCCGATAAATCAAGATTCCATAGATTCCCGAGCTGACCCACCGACTTCGGAATCTCCCCTTCGAGCTGATTCCCGAGCAAATTCAAATATTCCAACTGATTCATCTCGCCGATTCTTCTCGGAATCTCCCCGGATAACGAATTATTTGCCAAGTTCAACGTTTGGAGGTTTTTCAAATCACATAACTCATCTGGGATTGAACCGTTAAGGTGGTTAACAGCGGCGGTGAAGGCTACTAAGCTCGAACAGTTACCAATCTCCGGCGGGATGGGTCCTTCCAGTTCGTTATTTTGTATAACCAAATTCTCGAGAATCGTGAGCTTTCCTAGCTCCGGTGGTATTTCCCCGGAGAGATAACACGACGCCAAACCGAGAACCGTTAGATTCTGGAGGTCACCGAGGGAAGGTGGGATAGAGCCGGTGAGGCGGTTGTCACCGATACGGAGTACCACAAGGTTAGAGAGAGAACCGATCTCCGGCGGAATGTGGCCGGAGAGTTGATTGGAGAAGAGGAGGAGAGACGACAAGGAGCTGAGAGTGGAGATATTAGGTGGGATGGGACCAGAGAGCTGGTTTGACGAAAGATCAAGGTGGAGCAGGTTCTGTAAAAGTGAAATCGACGGCGAGATTCCGCCGCCCAATGATGCACCGGAGAGGTTGAGCCCCACCACCTGAGATAACTTTCCGGCGCAGGCAACACCATACCAGTTACAGAAACTCTGGTTTTTCTTCGACCAATCTTTAAGAACATTCCCCGGGTCTTCAGTGAACGATCGTTTAACCTCTAGAAGAATTTCAAAACTCGTAGCAGAATCTAAATTCACACACTCAACATATCCAAACAACAGAAGAAAACCAACGAAAAACAGAGCAAGAATTTTCAACACCTGTTTCGCCATGGAATTCGAGTTGCACAAAGGTTATGGTGATGGACGCTCGTTTTTATTCATGAAGCTTGGTGAGTGCGTTAATGGCGGAAGAAAAGTCATGAGGTGTCAGAAAACCAGTGCATGGAGATATGATTTTACGTTTTTTGGTAATTGAAGAGGTGTAAAAGCAAGAGATAAGGAAGAAAGAGAGAGAGAAATGGAGGTGTCAGAACTCCGAAGCATCATTAATGGCCACCGTATCGATTACCCATTCCCCACACAGCAGAAATCGTTGGGTGAAGCGATGATAATTAAATGGTTTTACAGAATATGTAAAGGGTTTAAATTGAAGTTGCAGAAAAAAGGTCAACGATTGCAGTTGTTGAAGAAGAAGAAGAAAAAGGAAGAGGAGTGAGTGAGTATGGTTTTGTTTCGATAAAAGCTATCGAAAGTGATTGGTTGAGTTTCCATAATCTGCATGTTTTGGATTTTAAATTTGAACAGTTTTACAAAGTCAAAATAGGGTCCACTTTCCAGTTTTCATTCTCCAGTCTACATAATTTTGTACAATTTTAATATATATTTGAGATCTATGGATATTTATTATTCTATAATCTATATATAAAATTATGGTCCTTTATAGTACATGATTAGTTGATTAGATAGAGATTAGTTTACTAAAGTGTTATATTCCATTTGTGTTATTGGGGTTGAGCCAACAAATCCTATTGTCCTTTTTAAACTCCATCGACACCTTACCAAAATCCAAAACTTTATGCTTTATTTTAATTAAGTTCGTTCTTTTCTCGTATAATTAAGCTTCTTTGGTATGGAAATTAACAAACCTATGATTTTTATATTGAACGTGTTTCACAAAATTATCTAAAACCTGATAGCTGGTAGCTGGAACATGTAATTTTTATTTAGTGTTTAACAAAAATAATTGGAAGATTTTAAAATATGTAGAATTATATAAAAGAATAATTGTTTAAAAAATATAAATATATTTATAGAGACAATTCTGCAAATTGATTAAAATAACTTAATAGCTTAATCTTAAACGTTCATATTTTAAAACGGAACTTTTTATTTAAATCTGTATCTTTTTTTTTCCTCTGCTCCCTGCCAAACACTTATTATATTCAACAATATTTGGTTTAAGGGTTTTTGTAACATTTGTGGTAACTATACAAGTATGTTACAAAATAGTATCCAAACTTATTTAAAAAATGGTTTTTTCAAACGATTATTTGAATAAGTTTTCGGATTCGTAGGTATTAACGTTAACTAAAAAGTCCAGTCAAGAAAAAAAAAGTTACGATTAATTACAAAATGTTAAAATTTGCAATAATGCATTTGAGTTTTAAAATATTAATCGCATTTATTGGAATGATTAAATAAATAATAAGCAAGATACCTTTACCCACACTCCAAATGAATATGACAATTACCTACCATTATTATAAAAAACTTATTCCAACCCTAAGAATTAAATCTATTCTTTCACATAATATATATCTTGGGTTGTTTGGATATAATATTTTGAGGCAGATAGTTCCAATTCTTGGGACAAAATGTCTAAGAATGCAGCCAATTTTGTCAAATTATTCATCCAAACAATCTTTGCTGTCTTGTACAAGTCTCATCGTCATGATATTAAAATATTCTTACTTATCTTCAGTCTTCAACATGACTCAAACATACCCAACGGAGTCAAGAGTTTTGCTTACGTACTTCTAGATTCGATATCGCCATAACCATGTGACTGATAACAAAATAGAAGAAGGGTTTATCATATGTAGTAATGAGAATCATAGTTGATAGAAAAAGGTTGATCCTGCTACTGTAAGTGTGTGCATGTTACCCTTGGTCATTCATCACTGTGGTCCACCACTTGCATGGGTATGATGTTAATTACTCTTAACCACTAGTTTGACAAGAACTAATTAATACATGGGGTAATAGACTTATGAAATACCGCATTTATATGCATAAATAACGTTTTATATAATCAAGCCATATATAGATTAGTCGCACCATGATAAACCACAAAAAAAAGAGCAAAAGGAAAGGCAAATATCATGTTCACAATTGGTTTGGATTTGCTTGGATGATGTAAAGAAATTAAATTTGAATTTCGTGCAAAGTGAAAATTATGGAACTGGAGTAGGAACATAGCTCCCCCTTGGTAAAATCAGACCGTGGCGTGGATGGTGGTTGTGTAGGGTAGGAATCAACAAAACTTCAAAATTAGACATGTTTATGAAACCATGTACCAAAGTCTTTGTTTCTCACATACATATCCTACATATTTATAAAGCTAGCATTTTTTCTTGAATCTCATGCATTTGAAACCCCCATAAAAATTTGCTAACACCTCATGCATTTGAAACCCCCCATACCCTTTCACCTTCAAATTAATTAATCACACATAATCTCATTCCAAGAAAATCACACTCTATAAGTTCAAATGTCTTTTCATATTTCTTTGTAATAATGATTTTTAATTACCATTTAAGAGTTTTATATTTAATGGTACTTATGACACTAATTGATTAATTTTGGTATATATATAGTTCACATTGGTAGGATTTATAATTTTTTGGGTGATTGTATGGTAGATTGGAAGTTTCAAACAAAATGATTTATGTGAAGAAAACAATTTTTTTTTCAAGGTCTACTTTTATATTATGCATGTTCGTCTTTCGAACAAAAACATTGATTTGTTTTATTTAACGTTTTAACATGATTTTTCTTTTACAGGTAATATTGTCTTATATATGAAAAAAGTAAGCGAAAGATGATTTTCTTCATTGTATGACAACTAACCGATGATGAACAAATCCGAGCACAATAACTGAAGACTATTTCATTATGTTTGGAAAATAACTTAAGATGAATTTCTTTCACTTTTCCAAAAATATCAAGACAAGAAGCAAAATAAGTAAGGAAGACTTCGTGAAGATGGGTTATCTAAGTTATTCGTGACTAAAATGTTTGTGTGTGTGTATATATATATATATATATATATATATATATATATATATAAACATTTGTAACATCACATTTATAGCATATTTTTTATTATTATTTTGAGTTGTTATAATTATATATAAAGATTAGACTTATGCATGTTATCATTTAAATATTTACACATTCAAGAGTTTTTAACATATGGTTATTAATATGTAATGTCTTTTTATTTTCCTCTCATCTATATACATTATAACTATATTAGTAGTTTACAAGTAAGTTGTGATAGAAAAAATCATGTGTTTGAAGAGATTTGTGATTTTAAATATGAAGTGTCGAAAAAATGAGTTTTATCGCATCAATGGTTACTACAACACGATTTGTTCTAGGGGATAATAATGTTTATGTGTACCAAATGTATGTTGATTTTTATATATTTTTGTATGATTTATAAGGGTTTAATAAGTTTTGTTGATATAAATGTTATAGTAGATGTTGTAGAGGTTTTATATAATTAAAAGTTATAGTTTTTTTCCATTCTATTTGTTATTCGTTGTATTAGATATTAGCATGCATTTTTATACAATCTACACAACTTAATACGTTTAATATAAAATTTACACAACTTAAAACGGTTTATAAAATTATCAATTTATAGTAGAAATAAGCAATGACATAAAACATGGTTGTTCATAAAACGAACATGGTAACTATATGTTTTGTTTTGCTACTAACATTGGTTTTTTATATATAAATAATAAATTAAAGTTTGTTAAAAGTTATTATTTTAATTAAATAATTAAATGTCCGCGCAACGCGCGGGGATTCGCCTAGTATGTATACATATACATATACATACAGTGGCGAATCTAGAACCGAAAACCATATGGTTCCCAATTTCAATGAAACCGGAAAAAAAATTAAAAAGTAAAAAAATACTAGTGGATGGTCGGGTCGTATAAATAAAAATATTTAAACATAACTTCAATAATTATATTAAATTTGTTACAATTATAACTGACGACGTCTTATATCTTGAAATATATTCATTGAATCATTATTGATATTTTTTAAAACATTTTTTTAATAACTATTGAACTAACAATGTTAATTGTAACTAACAACAACATTGATTTCAAAATAGTCACTAACCGTAACTACCAAACATAACATTAGTTTTGATATCCACAAGAGTTACAAGAGTCAACTATAATAATATAATGATTTCATATGATTATGTTTAATAATGTAATGCATAAACAAATATATAAGACAAGTATTAAGTAATATATTGTTTTGTAATTTCTTCACTTGTGATGGATGAGTTCGGCGATAGGTTTTGAAGGCTAAATAATGTGAATATCAGTTTAGAACTTTAGAACTAACATAAGGTTTTATTACCAATCAAATATTCTCAAATCTTAACTAGTTGTATATAACTAGAAATAGACAAACGTCGTAAACCTTTGGGTTGTGGGGTGGAAGCTGGAGGAAGAGGGCAGTGGTCGTGGGCGAACGACATGTGACAACGGACGATGTAGCGGTAATTGTCGGTTGGGAGGTCAATTGCTTAATGTCGTTTCGTCAAAGTAGATATCATACGACCAGTGATGTTTCAATTTTTTTATCTTTTTTTTTGTTTACTTTAAATGTATTGGGCTATTGTAAGTGGATTGAAATTTAAAATATAGGTATAAAAACTTTTAATGCATATTATTTTTGCCAAGCATTATTAGATAGTTCCTTCAATATTTATAAGGTAGTTCCTAAGGTTTTCATAGTATAAGTTAGGGATAATGACTTAAAAGGGTAACATATTTTTTGATTTGTACACATTTGGTCACTGAGTTTTTTTTTCGTCCACATTTACCCTTCAACTTGTTAAACTGTACATATTCAGTCCTTATGACCTGTTACTCCAGGTTAGCCGGGAAAAATGACTTGATAGAGTAATATATTTTTCATTTTGTACACATTTAGTCATTAATATTTTTGTACATATTTAGTCCTTAACATTTTTTTTGTTTCAAAATAAGTCCTTTTTTGTACTCATTTAG